AAATAAATAAATAGAATAAATAAAGGCGAGGGCCGCTGCCCAAAGGCGCGATCCGAGCTGCGGGGCAGGGGGAAAGGGGTTGTGTTGCTGGAAAATGTCCCTTTCCTTTGCTCCCGGCAAAGAGGATGGAAAAATTAGCAGCAGGAGGGGGGAAAGCCGAGAAAACACAACCAGCGGTAATCGGGGTACGCCCAGGTGAGAAAAAGTTATTTCGAAGAACGTTCCAAGTCCAGGAAAGTTAGGGGAATCTGGCCGGCTCCCCTTTCTCCGCCCCGTCTTTCTCTTCAAGTATTTGCAATCTTCGAGTTGCTTCTGCGCTGCCGGTGCTTCTTAGTGTCTCGCGTCTCCCAGGCGAGCCAGTTTCAGTCCCGAGGCCAAGGGGTGCACATGGAGGGCTCCATGGGCAGAGGTGGGTCGTGGCCGCTGCAGAGGAGCGCTGGGGCCGATTCCGGCGCCTCTGTAACTTGACACACTAGCTGCGGCTGCACGGATCGGATGAGCAAACCGTGCTACTTCCCAAACTAATCTCTCCCGCCCCCTCTCCCTCCACCTCCGCCCCTCTCCTCCTCCACCTCCTGCGGGGCTGATGGCTTGGATTTGTTTATTTATGCAAACTCGCCTGGGGTGGGGGGCGTGGTGTGCAGGGCCCGCTGCCCCCACCCACCGGGCCCCAGAGCCCCTCTCCCGTGCTCCCTGTCCCCTTTGAAGTCACACTTGGGGTTATTTATAGGCAGGAAGGGGGTGTGGAGTGGAGTTAGGGCTTCACTTCTCTCCCTTTCTTCGGGTTCACATCAAGAGCCCTCTTCGCCTTCCGCAGAAGTCAGGGGGCCAGGCATCGCTCAGCTTTCTGACAGGTAGGCAAAGTCAGCCTTTGGGATCCTCCAAAGAGCCTGGTTATTGTCGGGTATCTAGATGGATCTTCATGTCCTGAGCAGGACAATCTGAATCCTTTCCCTGCCATTGTCCCCTGATCCTCTTGCCCCGCCTCCCCAACCCGCTCTACCTTGGGCTCTGCACCCCCTGAGTCCTGCAGCTTCTCCAGCTCCTTTGGTGAGACTTCATTTCCACAACCACACCTTTATTCCCCCGTGACAAGTCGGACCTCCAGGGGGCAGCAGAACTGGTGCCCTTTCTCTCTTTCAGGACTGAGACATACCAAGGTACAGAAGAATAAAAACTGAGCAGAAGGGTTCATCCAGGGTATCCAAGGAGGCAGATCCTGCTGCCTGCCAGCCTTGACCCCTCCCATCTTGCCTGCCATTGATCTGAGACCCATTCAATCCTTGTGCTGTCAGAACAGCCTTGCCTCAACCATGCCAGCTATCAAAGGTGAACAGTTCTCACACAAGCTCTTACCCATCCCTGTGAGAGCCCTCACTCCCTCCTGCTGTCATTTCCTAAGTCCCAGTAGAGAAAAGCTGCCTGAAGGGCATTTTGTAGTTTCCTCTCTTCGTTTGTCACCTCTCCCACTTGAAGTAACATTTGTAATTAAGAGAGTTTATCTCCTTGGGCCTTCCTGCAAAGAGGTGGTGGGATTGAGTTTATAGAGAAAACCTATTTCCCAGGAACAGCCAGCAGGGGATAAAAGGCTGGTCTTTGAAATATGAAATGGGGATGGGGGCGACAGGAGCGTTGTGATTCCATTTTATAATAATAGGTGGTGCTACTTTCACATTCTATATATTGACCTGATTTGTCTTAATATGTAGTACAGTATCACAGCACATCTAAGTGTGGCTTATTTGATAAGGTAACACAGTAACATAGTATTTATAAATAATAAGTATTATAACATTGTCTGCTGGGTCAGTCAGCCACTATGGAGGACTATAGGGATAGAAAATGATGCTGTGGAAAGGGCTGGTGGCCAGGAGCTCTGGATCAGACTTAGCTGTAGCATTTCCTTAATGCGGGACATTGGGTAAGTGGTAAGTGTGCCTGTTTCCCTTCCCTGCTGTGAGGTATCTCAATTGGGCTGTACAGAGTAACTCCTAAGAAACACAGTAGTGTTGAAGACCACCAGGGGGCGCCAGAGAATTTCTGCACTGAGAGGTACTGTCGGGATTCAGGGACTTTGATTCAGGCCCCCCGCAATCCCCCTCGCCATCCCTCCATCCTGCAAGGGTAGTGGAAATGCAGGAACTGAATTGGGGGTTAGTTTCATCCTTCCTTGTCTTACAAGCTGATCTTTTCTCTTTCAGGACCTTGGGGGCCCTCAGGAATGCTAATGCAGTGAAACCTAAAAGGTTTGGGGCCAGCGCATCCTCCGTGACTGGGAGCTGAAGGAGGAGGATACCATGCTGGCCTGACCCCAGCATCAGAAATGACATGCCCAAACCCTGGAGACTTCCAGGGGGACTCTGGAGTCAGAGAAACCCAAGTATAAATCATAGTTCTGTCAATGTCAGTTACCTAATGTCTCTGAGCCTCTGTTTTCTCGTTTACAAAATGAAAGAACTTAAGCTTGGGAAAACTCATTGAGGTAATGCATGTAAAGCACTTAACACAGTGCCTGGCACATAGTAGGCACTCAATAAAGGGTATCTGCTTCCTTCTTTAGGCATTCATGGCTGCTAATGCCAGCTAACATACAGTCACCCCTGGGCTCCCAGCTGTAAAACAGGAAGAAATTTCAATCCCAAGAGGTAGCAAGTGAGTCACAGCCCCCCTTTCCATAACTGATAGCTGGGATAGCAGCTCGTGGGAGGCAGGCCTTAGCCTGAGTGGGGGCCCCCCGTCCCCAGATGTCCTGTCCTTCCTTTACGCGCTGTCTGAAATTCTTACCCTGGGGATTTCTCCCTTCCTGTTAAGCAGTGCCCACCCCAGGCAAATGTTACAGGGTAATTGGATTTATCTTGAAACCTCTTTCTGCAGAAGTGGGCCTAGAGTCGGGGGAGTGAAAAGACCTGCTTTCCAGGAGCTTAAAGTCTAGCAGGTAAGATAAGATATATTCAGAAACAACTGCCATAAAAGACAGAAGAGCGAAAATCCACAGAACAGAGTAAAGGCCATAAGAAGGTGCTTTGGGGGTTACCAGGAAGAAAGGCAGACATCCTGTGGCTCAGGAAGAGTCCCTAGGAAATAGGGTTTCTTGTTTGTAACTAGAAGACAGAGGGCTTCCAGTGGTAACCCAAAGAGTTAGACTTCAATCTGGGGTCACGGCTATGCTCCTAGATAAAAATGTATATTCTGGATACCAGAATAAAAAGCTAAGAAAAAAATGCCCCTATGTATACAGGCTGTACTGTACCTGAAGCATTTTCTGTGTTTTTCTGCTTCCAGGT